CCTAAATACTTTTGAGGTACCTGTTTGACGTATATAACTCATAAATTCTAGCGGGTTCAAATCAGGGGAGGAGAAAGCAGTAGGGCCCCCATGTGAGGAATGGGTCTTTTGGTCAGTGGCACCCCCATAAAAAAAATCCCGGAGCACGCAGTGCATAAGAGAAAAAAAAAACTCCGCCTTTTTTTTTAAAATTAAAAAACCGACTTTGTTCTATTTTTGATAGTATTTGTGGTGTTTTCTCGTTTTCATGGTCCATTTGATAAATGGAAACTATATTATAGAAAAGGGGGTGATTTATTTAAATTTTTTATAAAAAGAACCTGGGAAAAGGACACAAATACAGGGGTTTTTGATTTTTGCCGATGTTCAAAAATAAACAAAAGATGTCATTGTCCCTAAAAGCCAAAAGCCCCTTCTAATACGCAGTCTGAATGGGTTGATGAAATTTTTTTCAATTGTTTCAGTATTCTATCGTAACAGTAAAACTTCATTTTTTTTTTTGAATAAAATTTTTAAAATAAAAAGCAAAAAGTAATATCACGGGGCCTGGGAACTACTGATGAACAAAAAAAATCTTATTTTAAACCAGGAATTCTGCATTGTTCTTCTGGACTTTTTTGAAATTGTCTTTTTTTTTAATTTTCGTGAAATTGGCCCCCCCAAAAAATTTTGACCATGTTTGGTAGTTGAAATGGGAAATGGGCAGTTTCTTTGCTCAATCGATAGAAAAAATAGAGTTCTGAAGAAATATTATGTGTTTGTTGACTGGAAAAGGGAATTTCCGAAAATAGGGGAAAGTGGGCGAAAAAATTTCCGATTTTTTTAAAAACGCCGAAGTCGCTAACTTCGGGAGGGTAATTTTCCCTCAGTTTCCATCAAATTTCGTTTTTTTTTTTGGGGTCTTTACAATCGGGAAAGATTCTCTACATTTCATAAGAAAAAATAATTTTTTTTTTTTTGAATATTTTGCGCAAACCGGAAACAAATTCAGGGTTGGGGCCCTTCACATCAAAGGGTTAATAACTTTTCCACCTATTTTATATACTTTCAACATCTTTCCCCTTTTTTCCTCTATCCCCTCTATTTTATGCCTTTTTTAAATCCAAAATACAAAAAAAACTTCCCTACCTTTATCTAAATACTGTTCACATACAGTGACCCCGCTTAACATCCCTCCAAAAAGCAAAACCCAAAAAAAGTAAGTTATTTAGTAAGTGCGTTTGACGTGTATGTTTTGGGGGCTAAATGGATAATCTACTTCACAAATTCCTTAGGGAAAAAAATTTGGGCAGTACTGGCACCAACAATCTGGAATAAAAAAGTTCGTTAACCGGGGGTCCACTGTATATGCTTCAATGTAAACACTTGATCTACACATCCCCTATCCACACTGAAACCTCCTTGCTCATCCGCAATCCTACATTCTGTCTTACCTCTAATTCTTTCAGTTATAACCCTACTGTACACTTTTCCTGGTATACTCAGTAAACTTATTCCTCTATAATTTTTACAGTCTCTTTTGTCCCCTTTCCCTTTATATAAAGGGACTATACATGCTCTCTGCCAATCCCTAGGTACCTTCCCCTTTCATACATTTATTAAACAAAAGTACCAACCACTCCAACACTATATCCCCCCCTGCTTTTAACATTTCTGTCATGATCCCATCAGTTCCAGCTGCTTTACCCCCTTTCATTCTACGTAATGCCTCACGTACCTCCCCCACACTTACATTCTGCTCTTCTTCGCTCCTAAAAGATGGTATACCTCCCTGACCAGTGCATGAAATTACTGCCTCTCTTCTTCCTTAACATTTAAAAGTTCCTCAAAATATTCTCACCATCTACCTAATACCTCCCTCTCCCCATCTACTAACTCCCCTACTCTGTTTTTAACTGACAAATCCATACTTTCCCTAGGCTTTCTTAACTTGTTTAACTCACTCCAAATTTTTTTCTTATTTTCATTAAAATTTCTTGACAGTGCCTCTCCCACTCTATCATCTGCTCTCCTTTTGCACTCTCTCACCACTCTCTTTACCTTTCTTTTACTCTCCATATACTCTGCTCTTCTTATAACACTTCTGCTTTGTAAAAACCTCTCATAAGCTACCTTTTTCTCTTTTATCACACCCTTTACTGCATCATTCCACCAATCACTCCTCTTTCCTCCTGCCCCCACCCTCCTATAACCACAAACTTCTGCCCCACATTCTAATACTGCATTTTTAAAACTATTCCAACCCTCTTAAATACCCCCCCACTACTCATCTTTGCACTAGCCCACCTTTCTGTCAATAGTCGCTTATATCTCACCCGAACTTCCTCCTCCCTTAGTTTATACACTTTCACCTTCCTCTTACTTGTTGCCACCTTCCTCTTTTCCCAACTACCTCTTACTCTAACTGTAGCTACAACTAAATAATGATCCGATATATCAGTTGCCCCTCTATAAACATGTACATCCTGGAGCCTACCCATCAACCTTTTATCCACCAATACATAATCTAAAAAACTACTTTCATTACATGCTACATCATACCTTGTATATTTATTTATCCTCTTTTTCATAAAATATGTATTACTTATTACCAAATCTCTTTCTACACATAGCTCAATTAAAGGCTCCCCATTTACATTTACCCCTGGCACCCCAAATTTACCTACTACTCCCTCTATAACATTTTTACCCACTTTAGCATTGAAATCCCCAACCACCATTACTCTCACACTTGATTCAAAACTCCCCATGCATTCACTCAACATTTCCCAAAATCTCTCTCTCTCCTCTACACTTCTCTCTTCTCCAGGTGCATGCACAGTTATTATAACCCACTTTTCACATCCAATCTTTATTTTACTCCACATAATCATTGAATTAATACATTTATAGTCCCTCTTTTCGTGCCACAGCTTATCCTTCAACATTATTGCTACTCCTTCTTTAGCTCTAACTCTATTTGAAACCCCTGACCTAATCCCATTTATTCCTCTCCATTGAAACTCTCCCATCCCTTCAGCTTTGTTTCACTTAAAGCCAGGACATCCAGCTTCTTCTCATTCATAACATCCACAATCATCTCTTTCTTATCATTTGCACAACATCCACGCACATTCAGACTTCCCACTTTGACAATTTTCTTCTTCTTATTCATGAAATATTCATGAAATACCAAAATAAAACAATAAAATAAAGTCATTACAAAAATGTTTTGTTGATATTCAGTAGCAAAGTTCGACTTACGACCATTTCGACTTACGACCAGTTTCTTGGAACCGAACTTGGTCGTAAGTCGGATGGTAGGTGTATACATTGCAATTGACTCAAAAAAAGTAGTAGTATAACAGGTCTATCCTTTATGTACATACCTCAGATGCCTAGTTATGGAATGCTACATCATTGCTACTCCTTAGTTGGGCAGCACATTAAAAGTTGGTTAAGTATCACACATTAATACTAAACTTGATTAGTATTCATGGGGAAGAGTTTACCTTAATTCTCAGCTGTATTATATGCATGGAGAAGAGCTTACATTAATATTCGGATAGAGTATTATACATGGGGGAAGAGTTTTTCTTCCATTTCAGTCTTTTTCATACTGATATAGTTCTTCTTTCAACAAACAGGCAGTATTCCACCAAAGATTGATATTGTTATTATGCTCTTGCAGTCATGAGAGAATTAGTTGTATAATTGAATTATTAAATCATTAAATGCCTTTTTGTACAGCCTCTCCTCAGTGATGTACTCGTTTACCAACAACTCAGACTTACGATGGGCTGTCTGACCAGTATGCATACCTAAATAATGTAGTATATTGGAGCTAATTTCCTCTATTCTGTTTATTACAATATACAGTACACTACTGTATAAACATCTAAAAATATACTAAAAATGTTATAAATGGTGCAAGGGTGACATTAAAGCAATATCAAAGATGGTTGACATGAACCCACTACCATTATATTATGCTCCTCGTTTAGCGATGATTTCGTTTATCTATGAGGTATTAGGAACGGAACTCTGTCATTAAGTGAGGAGAGCCTGTATTTAATGGTTTAATTTAATACATTTAGCTAAAGTAGCCATGTATACATAGATTACTGCCAATATGGGTGTGTAAAACTGTTTTAACTATAAAGAATAAAAAAGTCACAATACTGTGCCTGGAAAAATTCACCAAAGACCTACATTTAGGGTGCGTCCTTGACCAGTGTATCACCCCAGTTGTGATCTGTTAATGGGCCAGCACAGACGACCCAAATGTCATCATAAGTTTCCTCTCTTATATGCGAGTTTTTGATGAATTTAACTTTATTTTGGTCTCCAAGTTAAATTCATTGTGTGTTATTATTTTATGCCTCAGAAAATAAAAGAGGTCCTAAAATATGATTATAGTGTATGTGTATGTGAGCTTTTAAGGCATTTAGTTTGTAAATTATTTAAGCAAACTTACTCCTTATTTTTAAATCTTAACTTGGTTATACATTCTTACTAATGGTAGATGTGATTGATTCAGATGTTTTTCTCTTTACTTCTTCCTCTCAGACTTGATATAATTTTCACATATTTGTAAAATGTGTTTCTTTACTTTTTAACCATTTCATTGTCTCCTGCATAGATCAACATAATTGATGCCAGTGTCACTCATGTAGGTTTTAAGTACAGCACTTTAAATTATGCTGTGAGTGGTGAATTTTGGCCTAGACATGAGAGAATAGGTCTGGGCAGTGAGTGTGCACAGCATAAAATAGTGAAAGGGTTAATTTAAAATTTTGTATTGGATAACAGAATGATTTTTAATTATTTATTAAAAGTGAATTTGTAAGAACATTGCTCTTTTGCATTAGCTTTTGGCAGATTGAGCCCATTATCAATTCATACATTTGTGAAGGTTCATATCACTTTGATAGTAGAAAAACAAACATTACAATAATCAGCTGTTTCAAACTGTTGCAAAAGTAATTGAATTCAGGAAATTTCATTAATTTCATTTTTTTTTACAGCATATTTTAGCATACTTGGTATTTCATCATTCAGAAGAAGAAGAAATATCGGCATTAAACTTCATTGCTGTTACAACAGATATTCACATTAATAACATCAGACGATGTTCTGTACAGGTTTGTCATAATCAGTTTAAGTATGTTTTCCAAGTAATTATTTAAAATTCTGGTAAATGATATGGCCAGACACTTTAAAATTACTTCAAGTCTGATAGCTCATAAAAGACATACATAATTTTTTTTTTTTTTTTTTTTTTTTTTTTTTTTTTTTTTTTTTTTTTTTTTTTTTTTTTTTTTTTTTTTTTTGATGAACCATCCATATCCCTCCGAGGCAGGGTGATCCAAAAAGAAAAACACAAAGTTTTCTTTTTAAATTTAGTAATGTATACAGAAGGGGCTTATAAGCCCCTTGGTCCCGGCATTTTGGCCACCTCTTAAAATATGCATCGCTTAAAGAAGAAGAATTCTTTTTCCACTTCCCCATGGAGAATGAAGTTAATTTTTTTAACACATCGGCCATTTCCCACCGAGGCAAGGTGACCCAAAAAGCAAAACAAAAAAAAAAAAAGCTTTCAGTGTCATTCAACATTTTCACCATCATTCATTCATAATCATTGTCTTTGCAGAGGCACTCAGATATGACAGTCACTCCAAACAGCCGATATCTCAAACCTTAAAACCCTAAAAAACATAATAATGTAACTATAAACTACTCTCAGAAGGGTATGGATTTGAACCCATGGCATGAGTTGTAAATGTTGCAGTGAGGAGGAGGCTGGAAGCAGTGATATTGTGTCTAAGGGCATTGTGTAGTGTAAATATTATGCAGAGAATTCATAGTGTGGAAATTAGGAGGAGGTGTGGAGTTACTAAAAGTATTAGTCAGAGGCCTGAAGAGGGGTTGTTGAGGTGATTTGGTCATTTAGAGAGAATGGAACAAAGTAGAAGGACTTGGAGACCGTATAAATCTGTAGGGGAAGGCGGGGTAGAGGACGTCCTAAGAAAGGTTGGAGGGAGGGAGGTAAAGGAGGTTTTGTGGGAAAGGGGCTTGGATTTCCAGCAAGCGTGTGTGAGCGTGTTAGATAGGAGTGAATGGAGACAAATGGTTTTTAGGACCTGACAAGCTGTTGGAGTGTGAGCAGGGTAATGTTTTGTGAAGGGATTCAGGGAACATAGGTAGTAGGTTGGTAGACAGCAACTGCCCAGGGAGGTACTACCGTCCTGCCAAGTGAGTGTAAAACGAAAGCCTGTAATTGTTTTACATGATGGTAGGATTGCTGGTGTCCTTTTTTCTGTCTCATGAACATGCAAGATTTCAGTTATGTCTTGCTACTTCTGCTTACACTTAGGTCACACTACACATACATGTACAAGCACATATATACACACCCCTCTGGGTTTTCCTCTATTTTCTTTCTAGTTCTTATTCTTGTTTATTTCCTCTTATCTCCATGGGGAAGTGGAACAGAATTCTTCCTCCGTAAGCCATGTCTAGTGGACAAGACTTGGTCTTTTATAGCAAGAATGTGGGAGACTGGAGGGCACCACTCATGGCCCAGTGAGTAGGTTGTATAAGTTTTATCGAGGGTCCTTCTCAAATTATGTATCTTAATTAATTTGTTTAGATTTACTGCTCATATTTCCGAGGTTTTTAGAAAACTATAAAATTTTTAAAGTCACTTTTTCAATCTGCTTTACACAATATTGCAGTGTGTTGTTGCTTTATAAGAGGGTTTACTGTAGTGCTTTGTTATACATAGTACAGTTTTTTTACTTATTTACTTCTATGGTCCTTAGTACATTTCATTTTTTTTATTTTAAACAGAATCAAGTCAATGAACTAGTTCTTGGACTTCATGACCACCGAGGTTCTGTCCTAAGAGAATTTTCTCAAATGAGGATGCTCGAGTTGAATGCTGATCAGCAGCCCAGTGGTAACAAAGCAAGTGAATCAGATAATGGCAGCAGCAGCTCTCTTGGATTAGATGCTATTGCTGAGTTCCTGGCACCACGTCTTCTGGGAATATTAGGATTCCTTGATAGTAAACTTGTATCTTCATCTACTATGTACAAGTAATTTGAAAGGATGATTTTATTTTAAAATTAACATAGCCTACTGTGATATGTCCATGTTTCAAAATAGGTATTTTTTTTTGTGCATTTAATGTTTAACACCTTACTAGCTTATTAGTGCATTATGTTGGTGTCTTTAAGTAGCATTCTGCCAGTGTTCAGAACTTGTAGCCATTTTTTAACGTCCTTGTACAAGAGTTGAAAAATAGCCATGGGTTTAAACAATTAAGGATGAGAAAGGTCAGGAATGAGAATGATCAGGCATGAGAATAAACAGGAATGAAAATGACCAAGGGTGAGACAAGTTCAAGAATGAGGATGATCAGGGATGAAATTAGTTAGAAATGAGAACAACCAGGGATGAGAGTGACCAGGGTGACTTGGCCACCTGATCAGGTGGCCAAGTTCCAGACTACATCTGAAAAAAACGAATGTTTCCTCAGCAAGCATTTACAAGCAGAATGTATAAGGCAAGAAACAGAAAGAGACAGCATTGCACAGATTAATTAAGGACAGTGTCAAGGTCTTTATCTTGACACTGACCTTTCAGTGAATTCTGAGTATCAGCTGGGTGTCACTGACTACATATTGTTGCCAAGGAAAGTAATCGTCATCAGTGGAAGAAAAGGGCATGGGCTAAAAACAGTGCCACATGCTAATTTATTTTTTTTTATTATTATCACACTGGCCGATTCCCACCAAGGCAGGGTGGCCCGAAAAAGAAAAACTTTCACCATCACTCACTCCATCATTGTCTTGCCAGAAGGGTGCTTTACACTACAGTTTTTAAACTGCAACATTAACACCCCTCCTTCAGAGTGCAGGCACTGTACTTCCCATCTCCAGGACTCAAGTCTGGCCTGCCGGTTTACCTGAACCCCTTCATAAATGTTACTTTGCTCACACTCCAACAGCACGTCGAGTATTAAAAACCATTCGTCTCCATTCACTCCTATCAAACACGCTCACGCACGCCTGCTGGAAGTGCAAGCCCCTCACACACAAAACCTCCTTTACCCCCTCCCTCCAACCTTTCCTAGGCCGACCCCTACCCCGCCTTCCTTCCACTACAGACTGATACACTCTTGAAGCCATTCTGTTTCGCTCCATTATCTCTACATGTCCGAACCACCTCAACAACCCTTCCTCAGCCCTCTGGACATCAGTTTTGGTAATCCCGCACCTCCTCCTAACTTCCAAACTACGAATTCTCTGCATTATATTCACACCACACATTGCCCTCAGACATGACATCTCCACTGCCTCCAGCCTTCTCCTCGCTGCAACATTCATCACCCATATAAGAGCGTTGGTAAAACTATACTCTCATACATTCCCCTCTTTGCCTCCAAGGACAAAGTTCTTTGTCTCCACAGACTCCTAAGTGCACCACTCACCCTTTTCCCCTCATCAATTCTATGATTCACCTCATCCTTCATAGACCCATCCGCTGACACGTCCACTCCCAAATATCTGAATACATTCACCTCCTCCATACTCTCTCCCTCCAATCTGATATCCAATCTTTCATCACCTAATATTTTTGTTATCCTCATAACCTTACTCTTTCCTGTATTCACTTTTAATTTTCTTCTTTTGCACACCCTACCAAATTCATCCACCAATCTCTGCAACTTCTCTTCAGAATCTCCCAAGAGCACAGTGTCATCAGCAAAGTGCAACTGTGACAACTCCCACTTTATGTGTGATTCTTTATCTTTTAACTCCACGCCTCTTGTCAAGACCCTCGCATTTACTTCTCTTACAACCCCATCTATAAATATATTAAACAACCATGGTGACATCACACATCCTTTGGGTCTAAGGCCTACTTTTACTGGGAAATAATTTCCCCTTTCCTGCATACTCTAACTTGAGCCTCACTATCCTCGTAAAAACTCTTCACTGCTTTCAGTAACCTACCTCCTACACCATACACCTGCAACATCTGCCACATTGCCCCCCCTATCCACCCTGTCATACGCCTTTTCCAAGTCCATAAATGCCACAAAGACCTCTTTAGCCTTATCTAAATACTGTTCACTTATATGTTTCACTGTAAACACCTGGTCCACACACCCCCTACCTTTCCTAAAGCCTCCTTGTTCATCTGCTATCCTATTCTCCATCTTACTCTTAATTCTTTCAATAATAACTCTACCATACACTTTACCAGGTATACTCAACAGACTTATTACCCTGTAATTTTTGCACTCTCTTTTGTCCCCTTTGCCTTATACAAAGGAACTATGCATGCTCTCTGCCAATCCCTAGGTACCTTACCCTCTTCCATACATTTATTAAATAATTGCACCAACCACTCCAAAACTATATCCCCACCTGCTTTTAACATTTCTATCTTTATTCCCCTCAATCCCAGCTTGCCTTACCCCCTTTCATTTTACCTACTGCCTCACGAACTTCCCCCACGCTCACAACTGGCTCTTCCTCACTCCTACAAGATGTTATTCCTCCTTGCCCAATACACGAAATCACAGCTTCCCTATCTTCATCAACATTTAACAATTCCTCAAAATATTCCCTCCATCTTCCCAATACCTCTAACTCTCCATTTAATAACTCTCCTCTCCTATTTTTAACTGACAAATCCATTTGTTCTCTAGGCTTCCTTAACTTGTTAATCTCACTCCAAAACTTTTTCTTATTTTCAACAAAATTTGTTGATAACATCTCACCCACTCTCTCATTTGCTCTCTTTTTACATTGCTTCACCACTCTCTTAACCTCTCTCTTTTTTCTCCATATACTCTTCCCTCCTTGCATCACTTCTACTTTGTAAAAACTTCTCATATGCTAACTTTTTCTCCCTTACTACTCTCTTTACATCGTCATTCCACCAATCACTCCTCTTCCCTCCCGCACCCACTTTCCTGTAACCACAAACTTCTGCTGAACACTCTAACACTACATTTTAAACCTACCCCATACCTCTTCGACCCCATTGCCTATGCTCTCATTAGCCCATCTATCCTCCAATAGCTGTTTATATCTTTCCCTAACTGCCTCCTCTTTTAGTTTATAAACCTTCACCTCTCTCTTCCCTGATGCTTCTATTCTCCTTGTATCCCATCTACCTTTTACTCTCAGTGTAGCTACAACTAGAAAGTGATCTGATATATCTGTGGCCCCTCTATAAACATGTACATCCTGAAGTCTACTCAACAGTCTTTTATCTACCAATACATAATCCAACAAACTACTGTCATTTTGCTCTACATCATATCTTGTATACTTATTTATCCTCTTTTTATTAAAATATGTATTACCTATAACTAAACCCCTTTCTATACAAAGTTCAATCAAAGGGCTCCCATTATCATTTACACCTGGCACCCCAAACTTACCTACCACACCCTCTCTAAAAGTTTCTCCTACTTTAGCATTCAGGTCCCCTACCACAATTACTCTCTCACTTGGTTCAAAGGCTCCTATACATTCACTTAACATCTCCCAAAATCTCTCTCTCTCCTCTGCATTCCTCTCTTCTCCAGGTGCATACACGCTTATTATGACCCACTTCTCGCATCCAACTTTTACTTTAATCCACATAATTCTTGCATTTACACATTCATATTCTCTTTTCTCCTTCCATAACTGATCATTCAACATTACTGCTACCCCTTCTTTTGCTCTAACTCTCTCAGATACTCCAGATTTAATCCCATTTATTTCCCCCCACCGAAACTCCCCTACCCCCTTCAGCTTTGTTTCGCTTAGGGCCAGGACATCCAACTTCTTTTCATTCATAACATCAGCAATCATCTGTTTCTTGTCATCCACACTACATCCATGCACATTCAAGCATCCCAGTTTTATAAAGTTTTTCTTCTCTTTTTAGTAAATGTCTACAGGAGAAGGGGTTACTAGCCTATTGCTCCCGGCATTTTAGTCGCCTCATACGACACGCATGGCTTACGGAGGAAAAATTCTTTTCCACTTCCCCATGGACAATAGAAGAAATAAAGAAGAACAAGAGCTATGTAGAAAAAGGAGAAAAACCTAGATGTATGTATATATATATGCATGTGCGTGTCTGTGAAGTGTGACAAAAGTGTAAGTAGGGGTAACAAGATATCCCTGTTATCTAGCGTGTTTATGAGACAGAAAAAGAAACCAGCAATCCTACCATCATGCAAAACAGTTACAGGTTTCTGTTTCACAGTCATCTGGCAGGATGGTAGTACTTCCCTGGGTGGTTGCTGTCTACCAACCTACTACCTAATTTATGATAATAATAATTATAATTGCCCTAGGTAGTAGGGTGATAGACCGCAACTGCCCAGGAAGGTACTACCATCCTGCCAAGTGAGTGTAAAACGGAAGCATGTAATTGTTTTACATGATGGTAGGATTGCTGGTGTCTTTTTTCTGTCTCATAAGCATGCAAGATTTCAGGTGCATCTTGCTACTTCTACTTACACTTAGGTCACACTACACTTGCATGTACAAGCATATATATACACACCCATCTGGGTTTTCTTCTATTTACTTATTAGTTCTTGTTCTTGTTTATTTCCTCTTATCTCCATGGAGAAGTGGAACAGAATTCTTCCTCCGTAAGCCATGCGTGTCGTAAGAGGCAACTAAAATACTGGGAGCAAGGGGTTAGTAACCCCTTCTCCTGTACATATTACTAAATGTAAAAGGAGAAACTTTCGTTTTTCCTTTTGGGCCACCCCGCCTCGGTGGGATACGGCCAGTGTGTTGAAAGCAAGAAAGAATAATAACTGCCCTAGGTAGTAGGTTGGTAGACAGCAACCACCCAGGGAGGTACTACTGCCCTGTCAAGTGAGTGTAAAACGGAAGCCTGTAATTGTTCTACATGATGGTAGGATTGCTGGTGTCTTGTTTCTGTCTCATAACCATGCAAGATTTCAGGTACATCTTGTTACTTTTACTTACACTTAGGTCTCACTACACATGCATGAACAAGTATATATATACACACTTCTCTGGGTTTTCTTCTATTTTCTCACTAGTTCTTGTTCTTCTTTATTTCCTCTTATCTCCATGGGGAAGTGAAACTGAATTCTTCATCCATAAGCCATGTGTGTCGTAAGAAGTGACTAACATGCCAGAAGCAAGGGACTAGTAACCCCTTCTCCTGTATACATTACTAAAGTTAAAAAGAGAAACTTTTGTATTTTGGGAGAGCCACCCTGCCTCGGTGGGATATGGCCAGTTTGTTGAAAGATTAAGAATAATAATAATTGATACGGCCGGTGTGTTGAAAGAAAGAATAATTGCATTAATATTATTAATAATAATTTATTTTCTTAGTAGGTACATTAACTTTTAAATTGCTGATCACATAAATAATGAAATAAATAATGAAAATAAGAAAAAATTTTGGAGTGACTTAAACAAGTTAAGGAAACCTAGAGAACGAATGGATTTGTCAGTTAAAAACAGAGTAGGGGAGTTAGTAGATGGGGAGATGGAGGTTTTGGGTAGATGACGGGAAGATTTTGAGGAACTTTTAAATGTCGACGAAGAAAGGGAAGCGGTAATTTCATGCACTGGCCAGGGAGGTATACCATCTTTTAGGAGTGAAGAAGAACAGGATGTGAGTGTGGGGGAGGTGCATGAGGCATTACGTAGAATGAAAGGGGGTAAAGCAGCTGGAACTGATAGAATCATGACAGAAATGTTAAAAGCAGGGGAGGATATAGTGTTGGAGTGGTTGATATTTTTTGGGTAGGGGATGTGTAGATCAAGTGTTTACATTGAAGCATATATGTGAACAGTATTTAGATAAAGGTAGGGAAGTTTTTATTGCATTTATGGATTTAGAAAAGGCATATGATAGAGTGGATAGAGGAGCAATGTGGCAGATGTTGCAAGTATATGGAATAGGTGGTAAGTTACTAAATGCTGTAAAGAGCTTTTATGAGGATAGTGAGGCTAAGGTTAGGGTATGTAGAAGAGAGGGAGAATACTTCCCGGTAAAAGTAGGTCTTAGACAGGGATGTGTAATGTCACCATGGTTGTTTAATATATTCATAGATGGGGTTGTAAAAGAAGTAAATGCTAGGGTGTTCGGGAGAGGGGTGGGATTAAATTATGGGGAATCAAATTCAAAATGGGAACTGACACAGTTACTTTTTGCTGATGATACTGTGCTTATGGGAGATTCTAAAGATAAATTGCAAAGGTTAGTGGATGAGTTTGAGAATGTGTGTAAAGGTAGAAAGTTGAAAGTGAACATAGAAAAAGAGTAAGGTGATGAGAGTATCAAATGATTTAGATAAAGAAAAATTGGATATCAAATTGGGGAGGAGGAGTATGGAAGAAGTGAATGTTTTCAGATACTTGGGAGTTGACGTGTCAGCGGATGGGTTTATGAAGGATGAGGTTAATCATAGAATTGATGAGGGAAAAAAGGCGAGTGGTGCGTTGAGGTATATGTGGAGTCAAAAAACGTTATCTATGGAGGCAAAGAAGGGAATGTATGAAAGTATAGTAGTACCAACACTCTTATATGGGTGTGAAGCTTGGGTGGTAAATGCAGCAGCGAGGAGAACGGTTTGGAGGCAGTGGAGATGTCCTGTCTAAGGGCAATGTGTGGTGTAAATATTATGCAGAAAATTCGGAGTGTGGAAATTAGGAGAAGGTGTGGAGTTAATAAAAGCATTAATCAGAGGGCAGAAGAGGGTTGTTGAGGTGGTTTGGTCATTTAGAGAGAATGGATCAAAGTAGAATGACATGGAAAGCATATAAATCTATAGGGGAAGGAAGGAGGGGTAGGGGTCGTCCTCGAAAGGGTTGGAAAGAGGGGGTAAAGGAGGTTTTGTGAGCAAGGGGCTTGGACTTCCAGCAAGCGTGCATGAGCGTGTTAGATAGGAGTGAATGGAGACGAATGATACTTGGGACCTGACGATCTGTTGGAGTGTGAGCAGGGTAATATTTAGTGAAGGGATTCAGGGAAACCGGTTATTTTCATTTAGTCGGACTTGAGTCCTGGAAATGGGAAGTACAATGCCTGCACTTTAAAGGAGGGGTTTGGGATATTGGCAGTTTGGAGGGATATGTTGTGTATCTTTATACGTATATGCTTCTAAACTGTTGTATTCTGAGCACCTCTGCAAAAACAGTGATAATGTGTGAGTGTGGTGAAAGTGTTGAATGATGATGAAAGTATTTTCTTTTTGGGGATTTTCTTTCTTTTTTTGGGTCACCCTGCCTCGGTGGGAGACGGCCGACTTGTTGAAAAAAAAAAAAAATGTATGAAAGAGGGGAAGGTACCTAGGGATTGGCAGAGAACATGTATAGTCCCTTTATATAAAGGGAAGGGGGACAAAAGAGATTGTAAAAGTTATAGAGGAATAAGTTTACTGAGTATACCAGGAAAAGTGTATGGTAGGGTTACAATTGAAAAAATTAGAGGTAAGATAGAATGTAGGATTGCAGATGAGCAAGGAGGTTCCAGAGTGGGTAGGGGATGTGTAGATTAAGTGTTTACATTGAAGCATATATGTGAACAGTATTTAGATATAGGTACGGAAGTTTTTATTGCATTTATGGATTTAGAAAAGGCATATGATAGAGTGGATAGGGGAGCAATGTGGCAGATGTTGCAAGTATATGGAATAGGTGGTAAGTTACTAAATGCTGTAAAGAGTTTTTATGAGGATAGTGAGGCTCAGGTTAGGGTGTGTAGAAGAGAGGGAGACTACTTCCTGGTAAAAGTAGGTCTTAGACAGGTGAGTGGTGCATTGAGGTATATGTGGAGACAAAAAAACATTATCTATGGAGGCAAAGAAGGGAATGTATGAAAGTCTAGTAGTACCAACACTCTTATATGGGTGTGAAGCTTGGGTTGTGAATGCAGCAGCGAGGAGACGGTTGGAGGCAGTGGAGATGTCCTGTCTAAGGGCAATGTGTGGTGTAAATATTATGCAGAAAATTCAGAGTGTGGAAATTAGGAGGTGTGAAGTTAATGAAAGTATTAGTCAGAGGGCTGAAGAGGGTTTGTTGAGGTGGTTTGGTCATTTAGAGAGAATGGATCAAAGTAGAATGACATGGAGACCGTATAAATCTGTAGGGGAAGGAAGGCGGGGTAGGGGTCGTCCTCGAAAAGGTTGGAAGGAAGGGGTAAGGGAGGTTTTGTTGGCGAGGGGCTTTAACTTCCAGCAGGCGTGCATGAGTGTGTTCAATAGGTGTGAATGGAGATGAATGGTATTTGGGACCTGACAAGCTGCTGGAGTGTGAGCAGGGTAATATTTAGTGAAGGGATTCAGGGAAACCGGTTATTTTTATATAGCCGGACTTGAGTCCTGGAAATGGGAAGTACAATGCCTGCACTCTAAAGGAGGTGTTCGGGATATTAGCAGTTTGGAGGAATATGTCGTGCATCATTATAAGTATATGCTTCTAAACTGTTGTGTTCTGAGCACCTATGCAAAAACAGTGATTATGTGTGAGGTGAAAGTGTTGAATGATGATGAAAGTATTTTCTTTTTGGGGATTTTCTTTTTTTTTTGGGTCACCCTGCCTCAGTGGGAGACGGCCGACTTGTTAAAAAAAAAAATAATAAATAAATTTATGCCAGCTGGGAAAATGCTGTTGACGTAAATTTATGCATAAATTCACGGGCCTTCAAAATGGCTGTGATCAGCTTGGTTAGGCCTACATCAGCAAAAATGGGTCTGTGGGTGTGTAGTATGTGTGTAGTATAAAAGAATTCATTCTGTATGCAGGTCATTGTGGGAACCAGTAGAACAACTGTATTGTAGTTAAAATAAATGACTACTTCCTTGCTTTTTCTTGTTGGTATAAATTACTGTGCATCACTTAATTTTTCAGAGAGAAGCGCTCTGCCTTATGGTCATTGGGTGACCTGTTAGTTGTGATGGGAAGACAGTATGTTTCTCCCGTTTCCCGCAAGGTTTTATCCTCCTTAAAAACAGCCCTTAAGCTGAGGGATGAGGAGTTTTATGACATTGGCTGCAGTGCCTGGACAAACTTCTTGTATAAGTATGCAAATGTTCATTGGTTTCTCTACATTATCATTGTATTTTATGTTGTATTTGTAGTGCTGTACATTGTTTTCATAGTGCTATTAGTACAGTGCTTTATATTGTAGTAGGTATATTTATTGCACTTGATTTATGTTTTACTGGACTACCTAATTAAAGTTGATAGTTTTCTACTGAAGTGATTGCTTGCATAATAAGCTTTCTCATATCACTATATAGTCGCACTTATCCAGAAGCCAGTAACAATATTGAGATTTTTCTACCATCCAGAATTTGAAAACCTAAATATTGTATAATTTACGTGCTTGAATTCAGCTAATCTGCAGAAGATATTATTAAATTTTTACTTTTTAAATTGTTGATTGTCACTGGTATCACTATTTCTGCAGTTAGGGTTAAAATTATGATTTATCACTCATACTTTTGTTACCTTGCTCACATTCCAACAGTACATAAAGTCATAAAAACCACTTTCCTCCACTCCAAACCTGTTTACACATGCCTGCTTGATGTCCAACCCCTCATATACAAAACTTTGTCTCCCCTCTCCCTCCAGCCTTTCCAGGGTGACCCCTATCTTGCCTTCCCTCCACTACAGATTTATACACCCTCTAAGTCATCCTGTTTTGCTCCATTCTCTCTAAATGTCCATAACACCTTAACAACTGCTCCTCAGGCCTCTGGATGATACTTTTAGTAACCCCACACCTCCTAATCTCCAAATTATGAATTCTTTGCATAATATTTACATCACACATTGCCCTCAGACATGACAACTCCACTGCCTACAGTCTCCTCCTTGTTGCAACATTCACAACCCATGCTTCACACCCATATAAGAATGTTGGTACCACTATGCTTTCATACATTACTCCTTTTGCCTTCATGGATAGTTTTCTTTGTCTCCACAGGTGCTTCAATTACACACCTTTCCTCTATAAATTCGTTCACCAACCTTTGCAACTTCTCTCCAGAATTTCCCTAAAGCACAGTGTCATGGGCATAAAGCAACTGTGACAACTCCCACTTTGTATAAGATTCTGTATATTTTAATCCCTAACCTCTCAACACACTAGCATTCACTTCTTTTAAAACCCCATCTATAAATGTGTAAACAACCATGAGGACATCATGAATCCCTGTCTAAGGCCTAATCTCCCTCTACATACCCTAACCTGAGCCTCACTGTCCTCATAAAAATTCTTAACTGCTTTTTAATAACTCATCCTGTATGCTATATACAGCCTCTCCTCATTTAGCGATGTACTCGTTTACCGAGGCCTCGGACTTACGACGGGCTCTCTGACCAGTAATTATACCTAAAAAATATATATTTAGATCTTGATTTCCTCTATTCTGTTTACTTCAGTATACAGTACACTACTGTATAAACATTTAAAAATATACCAGAAGTGTTATAAATGGTGCAAAGGTGAGATTAAAACAATATCAAAGATGGTTGACACAATCCCGCTACCATTATAGTATGCTCCTCCCTTAGCAACGAATTCGTTTAACAACATGGTCTTAGGAACAGAACTCTGTCGTTAAATTATTAGTGAAATATTTACAAGACTAGATACTAAATATTATGGCATGGATTACAACATGGTTTTAGTGTGGGGGAAATGGGTTTTTAAGTACTTAACACTCAGCTTTCAATGAATACTCAGAAGCATGTTAACGTTATGTGTTGGGGCCCTACTATAAACCTGTATGGTTATATATAATCTCTTGAAATGATTCTTTTTCTACTTTTATTTTAGCTTAGATGAGAGTACAGTGGAGGGCTTACTAGAGGAAGTAATTGTGGTCATCATGCCACTAGTCAAGGAGCGACCCAAGCAGATGGCATCAGTCTTGTCTCATATACTGGTAACACATAATTCAGTGTCTTTTGGTTTTAAATGGTGTTTAAATTAAGTTCCATTTTGAACATTACAGGTTATTTGTTTTGCATTATGTGTATAATGTTAAATTTGGAGTACAGTTGAACCCCAGAATTCATGAATGTTATGTTCCTGGAGACTGTAAATACTATTCTGCTCATCGACAGCTCTGTTGTTCAACTAGTACTCTACATCCTTTCTAAATCTAAATTTCTCCCATTTAAATCCATTATTTTAAGTTCTCTCTTGATTGAATATCCTTAGTACTCTGTATTGCCTTTATTGGCAGTGTCTTGGTAGGTTCAACATACAAAGGACCATTTCTGGTGTATCAAAATGTCCATTATCTGTATTGTGTGTGTGAATGGTAGGCTTAATATATAGCAGACCTTTGTATCAAAATTTTTCTGGTAGTAATAGTATATGTCCGGTAAACTCCGCATACAATGGGCCAAGTCAGCTGTATCAGGCATTTTGATACTACAGATTTTCATTTAAAGGGTTATTGTTTCTTTCCCATATTAGTCTCTTATTTACCGAAGCTTCACTGTAGATTCAGAACATCATGGCTCAAGAATACCTCTTGAATGATAACATCAGTGTCAATGGGAAAATTAGTCTTAAGTTTAGAACACTTAGGAAATATTTTTAGGAATACATGAAGTCATAAGCTAGGGCCCTACTGCACTGTAATATTTATTAGCATTGTAATTGGCACTGTTTGTATGTAGGTTTAATTTGAGAATATGATGGGCATAAATGTTCTGACAATCAGTTGAAGTAAGTGAACACTTATGTAAAGTTCTAAACATTTGATTTAGGCTGTGTCACTTACCAGCAGCTTTTTCAAGACTCTTTGTTCATTAACCTTTTCACTGCTGTGACTCCCAAAATTAATCTTTTCACTGTCTCTTATGTAGATCTATGTTACTGACACCAGTGTCACTCACATTGATCTCTGTTTTAAGCACAGTGCCCTCAAATATGCTGCGAGCAGTAAATTTTGGCCTTGACATGAGAGAAAGGGTCTGTACTGTGAGTGTGCAGAGTATAAGCAATTCTCCCCATGGTGCATTAATGGAGAAGTAATCCTCCAACCTTGTGTTTTGTTTAAACTAATGGCTTTGAGGTGTTTTCTAGGGTGGTTTTGTATTGTTTCTTGGTATCAGTTAATGAAATGGAAGACATATTTCCAAAAACGAAATGATTTTGTTGGTTTTAGGACTGGAAATAGCTTAAAATAAGGCTCAAAGCAGTGGAAACATTTGAGTCTTGAGGATTTGCCTGAGGAAAGGTAAGATTCCTCACTACACCCATCTCTTCAACAGCCTGTTTTATGAATTTTTACTAGGTCTGTTTCAATTATTGGGATCCCCTAAACCATGACCAATGATTGTGATGATGATGGATTCAAAATGGAGGGCAAGTATAATATGAGAGTCCTGGGGATATGATTATATCCATATTTTGTAAATGTTGCATGTGCTTTTTAACTCCTTGACTGTTGCAACCCCCAATCCTGAGGTATCTCCTGGTGTCGCAAAATTTCAAAAAAAAAAAAAAAAAAATTATTTTTTCTTATGAAATGATTGAGAATCTTTTCCCGATTGTAATGACACCAAAAAAACGAAATTTGATGGAAAACTGAGAGAATTATGCTCTCGCGAAGTTAGCGACCTTGGCGATATTTACAAATCGGCGATTTTGCCCACTTTGAGCCCTATTTTCGGCTAATTCTATTGTTCCAGTCGACCAAACTCATAGCTATTTCTTTAGAACTCCATTTTTTCTATCGATTGAGTACAAGAAACTGCCCATTTACCATTTCAACTACCCAGTAATGTGGTCAGAAATTTGCAATTTGGCCAATTTCATGACAAGTAAAAAATATGACAATTTCAAAATAAGGTCCAGAATGAACAATGCAGACATTTCTGGCTCTAAAATAACATTTTCTTTGTTCATCAGTCATGTCTCCAGGCCCCTCTGATATTACTCTTGCTTTCTATTTTGAATTTTTATTCAAACAAAAAATAGAAGATTTACTATTATGGAGCCTACTCCAATACTGTAATAATTGTATAAATAACATCAACCCATTCATGACTGCATATTAGAATGGCTAGTTGGACATTTATTGGACAATGATGTCATTTGTTTACTTTTGAACATCGGCAAAAATCAAACATTTCCCCTACTTTGAGCTCCATTTCCAGGTTCTTTTTATAGTAAAATCAATCAAAATCATCTCTTTTTCTATAATATGTTTTCCATTCTATCAAACGAGACCAAAAAACCGAGAATACAGCCATAAATACTATACGAAAATAGACCACAAAGTCGGCATTTTAATTAAAAAAAACGGTTGGAGTTTTTTTTTCTCATTATGCACTGCGTGCTCCAGGATTTTTTTTATGTGGTGCACACTGACCACACAGACCCATTCACTCACATGTGGGCCTACCAGCTTTCTCCTTGATTTGAAGCCGCTAGAATTTATGAGTACATGTATATATATACGTCAAACACGGTACCTCATAAGACGTATATATACAGCCGCGACAGTCAAAGGGTTAATATGCATGAATAATTATACGTACTTTATCATTTTTACGGGCATTTTTTTTTTCAGATTGAGATACCTTCAGTAAAGCCACTTCTTAAGAACCTGCCACTTCTTCCTGATGATGAAGCTCTTTCCCATATCAATCAAGTAATCAAGGACCACCAATTAAAAGTTATATGGTGAGACCATGTTACAATGAAAAATTCCATATCTTTGGAAATTATTTTTCCCTTATATTTTTTCCCCATATTATTCCTGTGAATCTTTGACCAGTACAGGTTGAAGAAAGAATGTCTATCCTTCTTTTCCTTCCCATGTTACTCTGTCACCTCACTCTTTGGAGGATACTTCTGAGAAGCTAGTCTCACCAAGTTGTTACACACTTTTGTAAGCTAGGGAATGGGCTTCTCTGTCCCCATTCAAGTTTTCAGAGCTCCAAGTGCTGTGCTCATGTGTAATAAATGAAGTAGGGTAAATCAATCCCAGTGATGCTTTTTCTATACAGTTTCAATGGATTGTGGTTAAATTTTTGAGATCGCTTTTGGTGGTAGCCACACACACACCCTTAATGCATCTTAGTTGAACCTCAAATATTGTCTCTTAACAGCTTTATTGTGTTCTTAACAGCAATGATTTTTGTGTGAAAATTTGCCCTCTTATTTACATTTATGAAACTTAAGATTGTGGGAGGGAGCAAGGGGCTAGTAACCCCTTCCTCTGTATATATTACTAAATTTGAAAGGAGAAACTTTCGTTTTTCATTTTGGGCCACCCCACCTCAGTGGGATACGGCTGGTACGTTGAAAGAAGAAGAAGAAGAAGATTGTGGGAAGAAGGGCAGGTATTACATGGAAGTGTTCTTTGAGTTTTGTCTTACACATGTATATCATTCTTGTTAAAAAAAAGTTTAATTTTACATTGAAATGTGTTTGCTTACTTCTCTTTTGTTCAGAGATAGATAGTCAATGATGCAGGTGAATAAAAAATATGACTTTATTTTATGATGGTCTGTTCCTACAGTGGCAGCAAAGAAGAAGTTATCGAAGCACTCACATCTATACATAGAGGACTAAGCCACGAAAGCCTTGATGTACGACTAAGTGCCTTAACACGCCTTCGACTTACTTTACAACATAATCAAAATGCTGTCCATCATCTTACAACAGATACTGATGATGTACATCCAGCTATATCAGAGTTATTTAGTGTTCTTTTAGGTACTGTAATTTTATTAATCTGTACTTTTTTTTTTTTTTAGACTATAATCATTATTGTTTATTTCTAATTTTAAGTAGACTGTCAAGGTCATTAGCAACTTTTTTTCTTAACTATTAATAACTTTCTTAATTTTTGTCTTTTTATATAAGTTATGCTTTATATTTATAATATAGTGAAGGGATTCAGGGAAACCGGTTATTTTCATATAGTCGGACTTGAGTCCTGGAAATGGGAAGTACAATGCCTGCACTTTAAAGGAGGGGTTTGGGATATTGGCAGTTTGGAGGGATATGTTGTGTATCTCTATACGTATATGCTTCTAAACTGTTGTATTCTGAGCACCTCTGCAAAAGCAGTGATAATGTGTGAGTGTGGTGAAAGTGTTGAATGATGATGAAAGTATTTTCTTTTTGGGGATTTTCTTTCTTTTTTTTGGGTCACCCTGCCTCGGTGGGAGACGACCGACTTGTTGAAAAAAAAAAAAAAAAAATGCTTTATTTGTGATTAAGAATGTATATTGAGGTTCAGAGGTCTCATAGTCCTTGCTGATAATTTGAAAAATTTCTTTGAAAATCGTAATTATGCTAGAACCCCTGTTTATAAAACCCTGGTAAATAACAACTCATTAACACATTTTTTAAAAACTGCAGATAAACAGATTTACAGACAAGAGGCTCTGAGTTTATGTATGGTAAAGTGTGAAAAAGTCAGATTTTAGCCATGTCTCAAGATGAAAATTGTGTGAAGCAAACTGCCCATTTCTTTGGTGTCGATGAATCAATCATTCATCCCATAAGAGACTGTGTGAAAATAGTAAATGCTTGTGCAATAAGTAATCCAGATAGTGACCTAATGACAAGAATAAATAGGTCAACAATTAAATAAGACTAAATCGTCAGTGAATGTTTATTGAGGACAATACAAGGAAGAGTGCCCCACTCTGGGCTCAGATAATCAGGCAGGAAGCTATATCTTACTACAGAACTGTGTGAAAAGGAAGTGAAATCCTTCTCAAGTGTAAAATTTAGTGCTGGGAGGTTTGACTAATTTAAATACTGCATCTAAGTTTAAAGTAGTGAAGGATCAGTTTAGCTTGTTAGTGTATGTTAATTCAGCAGGTGATTTCAAGTGTAAGCTTATGCTAATTAATTGTGTACAGACTTCACAGTTTAACAACACAGCATGGATAGCTGAAGCCCTGTTTGTTAATTGGCTTAAGTATTATTTTATTTCTGCAGTGAATATGCATCTAGCCACAAATAACCTTGCATTGAAAGTTCTTTTGATTTGATAAATCCCTAATCGTCCTGTAATCTGGCAATCTCTTGACCCAGATATGCAGATCATATTTTTTTCCACCCAGTGTGACAGCTGTCATACAACAATTGGATCAAGAAATATTAAGACATTTTAAGTTCCACTACACACACACACATGATCTTGCAAGAAACTCATTAATGGATGAAGCTCAGAAACTTGAGGGCTAGATTTCTGGTGTACAATACTTTTAACACTGCAGATACATTTATACACAAAAGTTTTTTTTTTTTTTTTTTTTTTTTTTTCAACAAGTCGGTCGTCTCCCACCGAGGCAGGGTGACCCAAAAAAAAGAAAGAAAATCCCCAAAAAGAAAATACTTTCATCATCATTCAACACTTTCACCACACTCACACATTATCACTGCTTTTGCAGAGGTGCTCAGAATATAACAGTTTAGAAGCATATACGTATAGAGATACACAACATATCCCTCCAAACTGCCAATATCCCAAACCCCTCCTTTAAAGTGCAGGCATTGTACTTCCCATTTCCAGGACTCAAGTCCGACTATATGAAAATAACCGGTTTCCCTGAATCCCTTCACTAAATTTACCCTGCTCCACACTCCAACAGATCGTCAGGTCCCAAGTATCATTCGTCTCCCATTCACTCCTATCTAACACGCTCATGCACGCTTGCTGGAAGTCCAAGCCCCTCACCCACAAAAACCTCCTTTACCCCCTCTTTCCAACCCTTTCGAGGACGCCCCTACCCCTCTTTCCTTCCCCTATAGATTTATATGCTTTTCCATGTCATTCTACTTTGTCCATTCTCTCTAATGACCAAACCACCTCAACAACCCCTCTTCTGCCTCTCTGACTAATGCTTTTATTAACTCCACACCTTCTCCTAATTTCCACACTCCGAATTTTCTGCATAATATTACACCACACATTGCCCTTAGACAGGACATCTCCACTGCCTCCAAACCGTCTCCTCGCTGCTGCATTTACCACCCAAGCTTCACATCCATATAAGAGTGTTGGTACTACTATACGTTCATACATTCCCTTCTTTGCCTCCATAGATAACGTTTTTTTGACTCCACATATACCTCAACGCACACTCACCTTTTTTTCCCTCATCAATTCTATGATTAACCTCATCCTTCATAAATCCACCGCCGACACGTCAACTCCCAAGTATTGAAAACATTCACTTCTTCCATACTCCTCCTCCCCAATTTGATATCCAATTTTTCTTTTATCTAAATCATTTGATACCCTCATCACCTACTACTTTTCTATGTCACTTTCAACTTTCTACCTTTACACACATTCTCAAACTCATCCACTAACCTTTGCAATTTTTCTTTAGAATCTCCCATAAGCACAGTATCATCAGCAAAAAGTAACTGTGTCAATTCCCATTTTGAATTTGATTCCCCATAATTTAATCCCACCCCTCTCCCGAACACCCTAGCATTTACTTCTTTTACAACCCCATCTATAAATATATTAAACAACCATGGTGACATTACACATCCCTGTCTAAGACCTACTTTTACCGGGAAGTATTCTCCCTCTCTTCTACAGTAGCCCATAACCTAACCTGCTGTATAAGCAGGGCCCACCTGTATCTAGAAGCCATGTTTTAAAACATGAAATGGAGCAGATGATAAAGCCTTATCATGAGCTGTATAAAGTATAGTAAAACCTCTAATAAATGGACCTTGATTTAATGAATATTAGCAATTACAAACAAAAAATGGCTTGGCAAATGTAATCACTTGATAAATGGAAGAAAGAACATAATTATGGATTTTGTCTGTAACGATAGTGTCTGGTAGTCTTATGAATCATTGGACCAAGTCCTATAACTTCAACATTTGCTCATTTGTTTGTTGTAGGCCAGAGTGACCATGTCCAGGACCTGTTTGTTTTCATTGTTGGCTTAGGCCACCCACCCCAGTTTATTGTTTGTGCTCACTCGTGCATATGCTTGTCATTCAGTCTCCAATTTTTCCTGGATTCACTGTTTTGTATGATGTTATTTACATATTCAGTAAAGTGCAATTAACAATGGCTTTTAAACAAGTGGTTGTACCAAGAGGAAACATGGGCTCTCAGTGTCAAGCAGAAACATGAACTGATAAAGAAGGTTGAGTCTGGCATCTCAGTAGCATGGGTATGTGTCTGACTATGCTCTTAAGTTCAGTGTAGATACTAACCATAAAGGTTTACAGTTGGTCCTAGAAAGTGTATGAAAACTGCTCATGATTAAAAGCTGGAAGAACGTTGTTCTGTTGGTGTTAATGTTCATGGTCTTGATTTTCACTCTGCTGTTCATAACCTAGCAAAGCATGTGAGCAGAGAACATAGTGTATGAACATAGGACATAGCCTAGCCATTTACATCTACTCAGTCATCTATGTTATTTTTACTAGTATGGGCAGGAAGGCACGTGGGTAAGGGAATGGGTGAGGGCTAGAATGTATGGACAGAGGGGTATGAAAAATAGGTGTGAGCATTGGGCATGATGGGTGAAGGTTAGAGTGTCTAGCATTGAGGTAACACAGCGAGACTCAGTGCTCCATTCATACACATCTAATACTCTACCTAGTTCTATATTCATATGCATCCAGTACCATACCTCAGCCACATACCTCTGCCCACACCAGCTGCTCATTCACCTTTCCCTTTTCCCTGTAACCACATGCCCTTGCTGCACATTTAGCAACCTCACCCATACTGCCCACAACCCCCACCCATACCAACCACCCGTATAATTTCAACACAGTGACACACCTTCACCCACACCATCCCAACCAACAACCTACCCACACACAACATGTCCATACAGTGCCCCCCCCTACAGTCACACACCCACACCTGACCTCACCTTTCACCCTGACATGCTGCCCACATACCAAATCACTTAATCTCCTGCTGCCCTCATTACTGCCTACATCACTAACCACAACTCACCCACTGCATACTCATACACCCAATCACCCCATCATCCAATCACCACCCACACTGGGCCACTGACAACACACCTTTCATATTAATTGTTTCATATTTCTTGACTAGAAATATTTAATGATTTAAATAACTTAAAAATTATAAATGTTGTAAGAGCTCACTTCAAAAAGACAACTCATAAATCCCAGCTCAGTGCCGTGAAGTAGAGGAAGACTTGCGTGTGGCAGTAGCTGAGTGCTTGGGACTTTTGGGTGCAATAGACCCTACCCGTCTGTATACATATTCCAGTATCAAAGGTAAGGCATTGCTTTATATATATATAATGATTTAGCTTTTTTTTAGTCATTGGAAATGCTTATACATTTAGAAACTAACTGCTTGCATAGACAATGTGTATATTAGCCCTCTATAAGTGCTCAGTCTCTGGGTATACTAATTTAATAATAATATAATATCTTTATTTCACCTGCCTAGCTGTGTTCTCTTTCTATTCACTGTCTCGATGCATGCATTGGGATGTGGCTATGGCTAGGACTGTATATTGATTTGTGATGTTTTTTTTTTCCTTCTTTTAACCCTTAAACTGTCCAAACATAGATCTAAGTTCACCTGCATGGTGCTCCGAATATTTTGAAAAATAAAAAAATTGTTTTTTGTTTTTAAATTAAAGAGGGCAATTTTCTGTGTGGTATAAGACCCAAAAAATTTTTAGGACCAGTACTTGCTGAGATATAAGACCACAAAGCTGGCTCTAGATGCTCACCTGACGGCAACATCCAGTCCTGCCGCTTGCAGAAGTGTTGCTGATTTACCTTTTTTCCTCGCTTTTATTTTAATTTATATAATTTTTGTTCTGATAATTACAATTTATAATAGTTCTTGTGATTTCATAGCCAATCTTTGTTCTGACACTAATATTATGTAGTGAAATAGTACTCAAATGGTAACAATCACACTGACAGGTAAACATTTTCACCTGCCTTGGTCACTGACTATTGTCTAGAAATATATAGACAAAGTATTTATAGGTCCCAGCAATGTTTTAGACATGCTGGAGTATGAAACTCCTTGAAGAATGGTGTTATGACAAGGGTCAGATAAGTGAGACATTTGGTGAATGTGAGTTGCTGAAAGGAACCTTGCCTTTATATGTTTTTACTCTTGCACACAAACATGTCTTTGTATGTCTGTCTGTCAGTTTGTCTATCTGTTTGTTTATCTGTACATCTATCTGTCTGTCTGCCTGCCTAATTCTGCTTATCTGTCTGTCTAGTTCAGCTTATCTGTCTTTGTCTTCTGTGTGTGCCTGGAGTATAATATGAAACTCCTTGAAGAATGGTGTTATGACAAGCGTCAGATAACAAGTGACATTTGATGAATGTGCGCTGCTGGAGGGGGAAACTTGCCTTTATATGTTTTTACTCTTGCACACAAACATGTCTCTGTATGTCTGTCTGTCGGTCTATCTGTCTGTCTGTCTATCTATCTGTCCTTACATCTGTCTGTCTGTCTATCTATCTGTCTTTACATCTGTCTGTCTATCTGTACATCTATCTGTCTGTCTGCCTAGCTCTGCTTATCTGTCTAATTCAACTTATCTGTCTTTCTGTCTTCTGTGTGTGGTCATGTTTATTTATGTCTTATATCTACAAACACTATATAGAACTTGGCCTAGAATTTTTGGGTTATCCTAGGTAATTTACATTATGTATAATAACTGTACATATGAGTACATCTTCTAGGTAGTAGACTGGTAGACAGCAACCACCCAGGGAGGTACTACCGTCCTGCCAAGTGAGTGTAAACGAAAGCCTGTAATTGTTTTACATGATGGTAGGATTGCTGGTGTCCTTTTTTCTGTCTCATGAACATGCAAGTTTCAGGTACATCTTGCTACTTCTACTTACACTAGGTCACACTACACATACATGTACAAGCATATATATAACATACCCCTCTTGGTTTTCTTCTAATTTCTTTCAGTTCTTGTTCTTGTTTATTTCCTCTTATCTCCATGGGGAAGTGGAACAGAATTCTTCCTCGTAAGCCATGCGTGTGTAAGAGGCGACTAAAATGCCGGGAGCAAGGGGCTAGTAACCTCTTCTCCTGTATATCTACTAAATGTAAAAGGAAAAACTTTCGTTTTTCCTTTTGGGCCACCCCGCCTCGGTGGGATACGGCCGGTGTGTTGAAAAGAAAGAATGTACAACTATATCTTTACTACAACATTTGTAACTAGTATTACATTAGTATAAATATGAATGATGATAAAGTATTTTGTTTTGGGTCACACGCCACGGGGGAACTGGCCGCCGAGTGATAAAAAAAAAAAAAGCATAATATTTAATGGCTAAGAATTTAGGTTCATTTGGTAGTCTCATAATATGCAATTTCAGGTAACTGCTACTAACTACACAGTCACACAACATAAGACAAGCATATATTACAGACCATATTTCTAATAACCCCTACATTAAAAGGTTCTTGCTTTACCTACTATTTCCGTGGGAGTTGGAAACAATTTTCTGAAGCCATCATGTCGTAGAGTTGTAAAATGCCAAGCGGAAGGAAATCCGTCTTTAAGTTATCTACTTTAAAGGAATAATTTCGTTTTTCCTTTTGGCACCGCCTTTTTTTGTATTACAGACCATTGTTTAAAGAAGAACTGTATCTTTATTTAATATTAACACATAATGATAAAAAGTTGATTAATTTGTCGTGTAGTCAATAAGAAGATAAAGAGATTCACCTTTTGGGTCACACAGATGTTGAATTGGCGACTTGTTAACAAAGTTAAAAAACGATAAACAATATATGGCTGAAAACATTCAACAAGACTGTTGATCATTGCATGCAATTGTTGTACTCTACAAATATTTCAACTAAACAAATAACCTCACATTAAAAGAGAAGCTTACTACGCATTTCGGTTCCGACTGAATACTTTACAAGTTCAGCTGTGACTTTGTAAATATCCAAGTCGGACCGAAACTCGTCTTAAGCTTCTCTTATTATGCGGGTTATTTGTGTATGTTCAATCACTGTATTGTGCCTTTTTTTGTTATTTCAGACCATATAGTCTTATCACTGTATTTAATTTATAAATATTAACACATTATATGATTAAGAAATTTAATTAATTTTCTTTATTCTATACACAGAAGAACTAAATGAGATCCACCTAAACATAGAAACAGAATGTTTTATTGTGCAGCTAGTTACAGAGTTAGGCCGAGCCTTCTTGGCTGCCACCGATGCCAACACTCAGACCTGTGCATCTTATGCGATGCAAGTAGGTGCCGTGTACTCTACACAGTATTTTTACTGAAAATATATCATTTTGTGCTATTTAGTAGCACTACCAGTAATAGTGTGGCTGAAAATAGTACTACTATTACTATTGCTACTAGTACTACTAATAATACTATTAGTAGTAATACTGCTACTACTACTAGTAATATCTAATAGTAGTAGTAATAGTAATAATAATAATAATATGTTCTTATTATCTTAAGTAAAATTATGTTTCACTAGCTGTTCTGTTATGCAGGAGGTGACACGTCTGTATGGTATTAGAGAAAGTGGATGTGATGGAGCAACACCTGTTGGTTCAAGAGTATGGGAACGATTGGGCTACCACTTGCAAGAAATCATATATCCTCTATTGACATCAAAGTACACAGTGGCAACAACTAACAGTCGTTCATCATCTGTGCTCCCATCTCCTATATATGGAAGTTCACGGGCACGATCATTTCACCAGTGGCTCACCAACTGGGCATGTTTTCTTGTAGAGCTGCTGAAGGGAGAGAAAGCAAGTCAGGTCAGTTGGCACTTATTAAGGCTCTGTAATAAGTATGTGCTTATATGCATATGACACTGAAAGCTTGACATAAAGAAGCTTTGAACTCTAAGAATACAATACAGGAGGGCTTCCCAACATACAGTACCTGTTTTTGGTGTTCCACATTTTCATTGGCTTTCAGTTGAGCCATTGTTCCACCATCTGGTGACTATTGCCAGCAGGTGGAACAGAATGAACAGTGGCTCAGTTTGAAGCCAACAATAACATGGAACACTCAAAGGAAGGTGCTGTACATGTGGGGCTCTCCTATACTTATTACTGGGTATGTGTGTGAACATCTTTAAGTAAAACTTTTACTAGTCCCATCAATATAAATATTCATATGCTAGCTTTTTCCAGGGATCTGATGAAGATGTAGATTTTAAATATTAAAGAGTTTGGGGGGAAAAACCAGAGAAAATATACAGAAATTGGATTTTTAAAAGGGAATTTTGGTGAAATGATTAAGGGTTTTCCCCCCCCTTAAATTAAAAAAATACATGTATTGATTTTTATTTTAATCCTTTAAATGCCCCAAGATTATTAAAATCATTTTTTTTACGTACAGGGGCCCCCCGGTTTAAACCGTTTTTAAAATCCGTGCAAGGAGGGGTAATTGTTAGGGCGAAAAAAAATTCGTTATGTAAATTTGAATTTTCCCCAAAAGGGAAAAAAAAAAATTGGGAAAAATTTAAAATTCCGTGAAAGACCCCCAAAAGTATAAAAAAATTTTTTTAAACCACATAAATGTTAATTTTAATACACACAAAACTAAAAAAAAGCTGCACACTTACAGGGAACCTTATTTTTAAATTGAAGATTGGTGATGATTGATGGGAGGGGGGAGGGGAGAGTTTATCTTTTTATTTGTTTAAAAGGGGGAACCCCCTTCCCCTTTAGGACTTGAGGGGCAAGCCCTTTTTTCTGGGGTTTATTTTTCCCTTTTTTTTTTTAATCCCCCCCTAGGGCCAGCTTCAGAGTCACGGACTTTTTCCCGCACAAGATATCTGCCCATAGGGGCCTGTACCTCTCTTCCTTTTAAATTTTGCCTAAAGTGTTTAAACAACATTGCCCAGTTTTTAAAAAAAATCCCAGAAAGGGTTTTGCAATAGCTGTGTGAGGGGGGTTTTATCCATAAGGTTTGCACTTCAAGCCACTTTCCCAAGATTTCTTAATCTTTGTAGAAGGCAACTTCTTAAATTTCTCTTCCTCCCCCTTTTAAACCCCTTTCCCCCCGGGTTTGGGCCCCTTTTGCCCTTAAAAGGGTTGATCTATCAGTCATCAGTGGTTAGTTTTTCCCATTGCCTCCTCCCCCAAAACTTTTCCCAAAATCCTCCCCACAAAACCCCCAAACCCCCAAGGATTTTTCCCAATGCCACAATGGATCCTCAACTGGCCAAACCCTCTCGGGGTTGGGCCTAAAACCCCTTTCAAACTCCCTTTTGTCTACAATTTGGCCCCCAGTTTCTTCCAAGAAATTTTTTAAAGGGGTTCTTTTAAAGTCATTTTCCCCCCAAAACCTTCCCTATAAGGTTTAAAACAATTGGGAAAATATTAAATTGTCTCTCCAAAACTCTCTTAGAGTCATTTGGGTTTTTGGGGTTTCATTAAAAAAGCCCCTTTCAAACAGAGCTTTTGTGTACATTTTTTCTTGAAGTTGGAAAAAACCTGTGGCCCATGGGCTGCGGAAGGAGTGGTTTTGGGAGGCAAAAAACCCCACTTAATGAACCCTCATGCCCCCATAAAGTCGCTCCCCACGCCCTGTGGAGGGACCAGGGGCATTGCCCTAACACCGGGGAGGCACTTAAGTTCTAATTTTTTTTTCAGTTAGGTAATCTTTCACATTGGGGGCAAATGCATGGTGTAACCGGGTTATAAAAAATTCCCTAGGGGCCCATGCCTTACTTTTTCCCCCTCCACACACAAAAAAAATTACCCTTGAGGACTTCTTTTGCCTGAACGCTCTGGGATTTTTCAGATGATACACAAATTTAAGGTTTTAACTTTGCAATCACCATTACATTGGCCACATCAACAAAGTAAGCCTGTCTTTCATGGGCCCTTATGTCCTGGGAGTGCCTTTTCCTCCGGTAATTAGGTCCTGGGGGCATTTTTCCAGAACAGGCCTGTTTATCAAAAATTAAACACTTTTTTCGGGTTTCAGCCCCTTCATTTCTATGTACCCTTTAAATTCCCCGGCACATCTTTTTTTTAAACCCGTTTTGGGGGCCGAACTGGCACCTCCCCCTGCCTTTACACACTATGGATGCCACTACGTTTTTTAAATCCCCTCAAAAAAACCTTTTGGGCGGGCCCTTTTAAATTCACTCACATTCATAGTTGCAGGCTTTTTTTTAAATTTAAAATTCCTGATGCAATTCCCCTACCTTTTCACATATAAACGTTTAGAAAAGCATCTCCTGCAAATCTGTTTTTAAATTTATCCACCCCAAAAAGATCTCTAAAACATCTTCCACCCCCCCTTTTTGCGATCTTTGTTTCAAAAACACTTTTAAAAACCTTTTTGGCAAGAACAGTTTTCCTTGTTGTCTTTTCTGGTGCCCCCCAATAGTAGCGATGGTTGTTTGGGGGTTTTTGTCCCGTTTGACTAGGTGGTTTATACGCATCCATTTCTTTCCCTTTATAAATTGATCTCTTTTTTCATTTTTTAGAAATTTTCTCCCCCTTTATTGGTGTAGGGTTTGGCACTAGAAGCTATTTTTTTGGGGGCCCGGGGCACTTTTTTTCCAGAAACAGCCCCGAAAACAACTGTAAAAATACAAAATTTTTCCCGAGTGTTCCCTTGGATTTTTACCGGGGGCGGGCTGGTAAAACAATGGCACGGGGGGGCCCACATGTGAGGCTGGCGAGGGCGCACATTGGACGCGTCTGGGACAAAATCGGTGAGCGGGTTTTTAATCGGTATTTGGGGAAAAAAATTTTTAAAGTTAAGGGGGGGAAAAAAAAATGCCCTTTTTTGGGGGGGGAATTTTTTAAAATTTAAAAATTTTTCCCGGGGTTTTTTTTTTTCCAAATTTTTTTTAAAAAAAGGTTTGGGAAAAAAAAAAAAAAAAAAAACCCCAAAAAAAAACCCCCCTTTTTAAAATTTTTTTTTTAAAAAAAAAAAATTGGGCCAAATTAAATTAGGGGGTTTTGGGGGTTTTTGGGGGGGTTTTTTTTAAAAAAAAATTTTTTTTTTTTTTTTTTTTTTTTTTTTCCCCCGGGGGGTTCCCAACCCCCCCCCCCCCCCCAAAAAAAAAAAAAAAAAAAACCCCCACCCAAAAAAACCCCCCCCCCCCCCCCTTTTTAAAACCCCCCAAAAACCCTTTTTTAAAAAAAACCCCCCCCAACCCCCCCAAAAACCCCCCCCCCCCCTTTAAAAAAAACCCCCCCCCCCCCCCCCAAAAAAAAAAAAAAAAAAAAACCCGCCCCCCCCCCCCCCCCAAAAAAACCCCCCCCTTTTTCCCCCCAAAATTTTTCCCCCCCGTTTTCCAAAATTTTTCCCCCTTTTTCCCCCCCCCAAAAAATTTCCCCCCCCCCCCCCCCCCAAAACCCCCCCTTTTTTTTTTCCCCCCCCCCCCCTTTTTCCCCCCTTTTTCCCCCAAAAAAAAAAAATTTAAACCCCCCCCCCTTTTTTTTTCCCTTTTTCCCCCCCCCCCCCCCCCCCCTTTTCCCCCCCCTTTCCCCCCCCAAAAAAACCCCCCCCCCTTGCAAACCTCCCCCCCCCCTTTTCCCCCCCTTTTTTCCCCCCCCTTTTAAAAAAATTTTAAAAAAGGGTTTTTTTTTTTTTTTTTTCCCCCAAAAAAACCTCCCCAAAACCCCCCCCCCTTTTTTTTTTTTTCCCCCCCCCCCCCCCCCCCCCCTTTTTTCCCCCCCGGGCCCCCCCAAAAATAAAAAACCCCCCAAAAAAAACCCCCCCCAATTTTAAACCCCCCCCCTTTAAAAAAACCCCAAACCCCTTTTTTTTTTAAATAATTTCCCCTTTTCCCAAACCCCCCCCCCCAAACCCCCAATTTTTTTTCCCCCCCCCCCCCCCTTCCCCCCCCTTTTTTTTTAAAACCCAAAGGCCCCCCCCCAAAAAATTTGGGAAAAAAAAATTTTTTTTTTGTTTAAAAAAATTTTTTTTCCCCCAAAAAATTCCCCCCCCCCCCTTTTTTCCCCCTTTTTGGAAAATTTCCCCCTTTTCCTTTAAAAATTTTTCCCCCCAACCTTCCCTTTTTCCCCCCAAATTCCCCTTTTGGGGGTTTTTTTTTTTTAAAAAAAAAAAAAAACCCTTTTAAAAAAAAAACCCCCCTTTTTTTCCCCCCTTTTTTTTTTTTTTTAAAAAAAACTTAAAAATTTTTTCCCTTTTCCCTTTTTTTTAAAAAAAAAATTTTTTTGGGGGAAACCCCCCCAAAAAAAAATTTTTTTCCCCCCCGGGGGGGAAAAAACCCCCCAAATTTTTTCCCGGGGGGGCCCTTTTTTTTGAATCCACATAACCTAAACGCACCACTCCCCTTTTTTCCCCCCAACAATTCTTGATTAACCTCATCCTTAAAATCCTCCGCCGCCCACTCAACCCCAAGTATCTAAAACATTCACTTCTTCCAACTCCCCTCCCCAATTTAAAATACCAATTTTTCTTTATCTAAATCATTTGATACCCTCATCACCTTACTCTTTTCTATGTTCACTTTCAACTTTCTACCTTTACACACATTCTCAAACTCATCCACTAACCTTTGCAATTTTTCTTTAGAATCTCCCATAAGCACAGTATCATCAGCAAAAAGTAACTGTGTCAATTCCCATTTTGAATTTGATTCCCCATAATTTATGTACTAGTAACTTCACACTTCCTAATTTCCAAGCTACAAATTCTTTGCATAATACGTATTTACATCACACATTGCCCTCAGACACAACATCTCCACTGTGTCCTGCCTTCTCCACGTTGCAACATTCATAACCCATGCTTCATACCCATATAAGAAAATTGG